ATGAAATACTTCTGTGCTTTGGAATCAAACTTGTTCAGATTATCCTTAGTATTCAACATATAGCAAATACATCCAAAATGATGAAAATATGAAATGTTGGGCTTTTTGTTCTTCCACAGTTCATAAGGAGTCTTCTTCAGAAGAGGTCTTACAGACACTGTTCTGAATGTAACGGGCTGTGTTGATTGCTTCTGCCCAAAAGTGTTTTGCCAGATTTGTCTTATTGATCATGGTTCTGGCCATTTCTTGCAGAGTTCTGTTTTTCCTCTCTACAACCCCATTTTGTTGTGGAACTCTAGGACAGAAAAAATTATGAGCAATGCCATTTTCAGAAAAATATTTTTCAAAATATTTATTTTCAAATTCACCACCATGGTCACTTCTGACTTTTATAATTTTGAAACCCTTTTCATTCTGGACTTGCTTGCAGAAGTCAAAGAACACAGAATGTGACTCATCCTTGTGTTTTAAGAACTTTACCGATGTCCATCTACTATAGTCATCAACAATGACTAATCCATACTTCTTGCCTCTGATGGATGCAGTTTTCACTGGTCCAAACAGATCAATATGAAGTAGTTCTAGTGGTTTAGAAGTAGAAACAACATTTTTAGATTTAAAAGATGTTTTTGAAAACTTCCCCTTTTGGCATGCTTCACAAAGAGGATCTGAAGTGAACTTCAGATTAGGGAGTCCTCTGACAAGATTAAGTTTATTAATATGAGATATACGTCTCATATTAATATGGCTCAATCTTCTGTGCCAGACCCATTGCTATTCATTAACAGACAAGAGGCACTTAACATTTTGAATTTTAAGTTCTGAAAAATTTATTTTATAAATGTTGTTTTTCCTCTTACCACTAAATAGGATAGAGCCATCCTTTTGACTAATAGCTTTACAACATTTTTGATTAAAGGTAATATCATAACCATTGTCACTTAATTGACTTATGGACAATAAGTTATGCTTTAACCCTTCAACAAGTAAAACATTAGTAATAGAGGGAAGTTTACCATTTCCAATAGTGCCAGATCCAATGATTTTGTCCTTTTGGTTCCCTCCAAACTTCACATCACCTCCAGATCTAAGTTCCAAGCTTTGGAACATAGACTTTTCTCCTCTCATGTGTCGTGAGCATCCAGAGTCCAGGTACCATGATTGGCGTCCTGACCTTGCTGCTAAGAACATTTGCAATAGGAATTATTTTGTTTTTAGGTACCCAGATCTTCTTGGGTCCTTTGGGGTTAGTTGGTTTGTAGGTTTGTCTAAATTTCGGTTTTTCAACATAATGTTTATTCTGACTTGCCTTGGGTTTAAACACATAAGTATTCTTCTCAGAGCTTGTGTGTTTAATGTCATTTAAGTGACCAAATTTAAATTGAGAATACAAATGTGTCTTCTTGATGAAAAGTTTGTCAACAGATTTTGGATTACTTCCAGATTAAGATTCATATCCAATACCTCTTCTGTTGTTCCCACTAACACCATAGATCATAGAAGCCATCTTGCTTCTGTCTATACTCTTAGTAAGGAATCTCTGAAAGCTAAAGTCATATTTTTCTAAAATGTTTTCACATGACTTAGTCTCAGATTCAGATTCTCGTTGAGTTATTTCAAAGTCATTTTTGATTTTCAAATTAATTTCTTTTTGCCCAACAAGTTCTGTCTTCAGAATATCAATCTCAGATTCAAGATTGTTTTTCAGCTTCTTGTATTTGAGTTTGATATTGATATAACTTTTAAGAACTTCTGTTAAAACTTTTATAAGTTCTTTTTTGGTAAGTTTAGTCATTAACTCTTCAGCGTCATCATCAGATTCAGAATCTGATTCATATCCTGAGGTTCCTTCCTCTTGATCTTCTGTGCTGGCCATCAGTGCAACATTAGCTTCCTCTTGATCTTCTGTGCTGGCCATCAGTGCAACATTAGCACATTCTTCTTCTGATTTAGAAGATGATTCAGATTCTTCTGAGTCATCCCATGTTGCCATCAGAACCTTCTTCTTTTTGTTAAACTTCTTCTTAGGTTTTTCTTTTTGAAGTTTGGGGCAATCATTCTTGTAATGCTCATGTTCTTTGCACTCATAGCACACAACTTCTTTCTTGCCAGATCTTCTGTGCTCAGAAGATTCCTTTCTATTATCAGATCTTCTGAAGTTGTTGAACTTCTTTCCCTTGTGCTTCCAGAGTCTGTTGATCATTCTGGATAGCATGGATAATTCATCTTCTTCAGATGAAGATTCATCAGAGCTTTCTTCAATAACCTGCAAAGCTTTAGCAGATTTGTTAGATTTTAAGGCAACATATTTACCTTTTTCTTTCTTCTGAGGTTCATCTTCCTCAACCTCAATTTCATGGCTCCTCAGTGAGCTGATGAGTTCTTCTAAAGAGATTTTGTTCAGATCTTTAGCCATCTTCAAGGCAGTCACCATTGGTCTCCATCTGTTAGGTAGACTTCTGATGATTTTCTTTACATGATCTGATGTAGAGTATCCCTTGTCCAGAACCTTTAGCCTAGCTGTGAGGATCTGAAATCTGGAGAATATGGCTTCAACAGATTCAGAGTCTTCCATCTTAAAGGCCACATACTTCTGGATCAGAGCCAAAGCTTTTGTCTCCTTGACTTGAGAGTTTCCCTCATGAGTCATTTTTAATGATTCAAACATATCAAAAGCAGTTTCCCTGTTTGTAATTTTTTAATACTCAGTATGGGAAATTGCATTCAATAATATAGTTCTGGCTTTGTGATGATTTCTAAAATCTTTCTTCTGAGCATCTGTCATAGATTTTCTGTCTATCTTCTTACCATTCCCATCTGTGGGATGGACATATCCATCTATGACTAGATCCCATAGATCAGCATCATATCCTAGGAAAAAACTCTCAATTCTGTCTTTCCAGTAATCAAATTTCTCCCCATCAAACATAGGGGGTTTGGTGTTGATCCTATCCCTTTCTTCATATTTATTGTTAATGTTGGATATTGTATTATCAGCCATTGTAACAAATAAATATATATCAAAGTATTTCTCTCTGGATCTTTACTGTCACTGTTAAGTGGTAGCACACACAGAACCGGAGCTCTGATGCCAACTGAAGGTGAGATAATACTTAGAAGGGGGGTTGAATAAGTATGAAAGATTAAAACTTAGAAATAAAAACACAATTATTTTTATCCTGGTTCGTTGAACTCAACTACTCCAGTCCACCCTTCCTAGAGTGATTTGCCTTTCTCAACAAGGACTTAATCCACTATTTAATCAAACAGATTACAATAGTAACACCTAAGAACAACTGTTCTTAGTCTTCTCAAGAGCTATTGATTCCAACTGAATCCTCTTAAGGAAAACCTTTACAATCAATGTAAATAAAATACAAGAGTATGAATGCTTCTAAAAAGCTTTTATCACAACAGTGATATTTCTCTTAATTTTAAGTACAAATAATTCTAAGAAGAATATGAAAGAATGAGAGCTTTGAATGTTATGATTTCTTTTCAGCAAAAAATCTAACTGAAGAATTTGGTGGAGTCTTCCTTTTATAGGCAGCTGATCCAAGGAGAGCTGAGCGTTGAGAAGAGTGTCCCAAAAAGGTCCGAGCCTTTTTGTCTTTACATCAAGTGACCTTTCCTAGAAGTAGAAGGCACAGAAAAATCCTTTTTGTCTGTGTTCTTGTGTCTAGCACAAATGAGGAAAGAGACGTTTGATTTACTCCAACGAATATAATCTTTGAATATTTCTTCTTCAGTTTTCAGCAAGTTCATCAGAATCTGATTGAGTCAGACTCTTCAAATGATATTCAGAACTTTGCTGTATCAGAGTCTTCTGCAGCATGTGTGCTTTCAGCGTGTTGATCATCAGAGCATATTTGACACAGAACTTCAGTACTGGCAGCTTTAGTACTTTCAGAAACTTCTGTAGAAACTATGCTTTGAGAAACTCTTCATACAATATTCTTCTTTGCTTCAGATGCTTCTGCTTGCTTAAGATGCTTCTGCTTGCTTCAGATTCTTCTGGAGCTTCTGCTTCAGAATCTTCTGGAGCTTCTTGCTTCAGATCCTTCTGGAGGCTTCGCTCAGAATCTTCTGTTAGCAGCAATCAGAGTCTTCTAATGAGTGCATCTGGCGCTTCAGAGTCTAGATAACTTCTTGTATACAATTCAGATTTGCTTCTGGAGTGTTAATTTCATTACAATCTGTAGTAAAACTCTCAAGCAAATTTTAGAGTATATAATTCTTAAATACAAAATTTCCTAATAGTTATCATCAAAACAAAGAGATATTATTAAGAACCAATCTGTGTTCTAACATGATCAAGGAGATTGGGAGGTCTTGGTGAAATTGAAAGACCTTCCAGAATTTGAGAATTCTTGGGAGTTGGCTGAAAGGTTAAAAGAGGAATTTCCAGTTTTCTTCCTTGAGGTCAAGGAAGTTTTTGAAGGGAGGGGAATTGGTAGATATGGGAGGCAATATGTGAGGAAACGTAAGAAAGAGAGAGAGAAAATAGGACAAATTCTGTTAGCAGTAGCACATGGGTTGAGACAGCTGGCAACAGCTGTATGGTAATTCTGTTAGCAGTAGCACATGGGTTGAGACAGCTGGCAGCAGCTGTATGGTAATAGAACCTAGGAATAATTCCATAAATGATTGGGTCCCAATCATTTATGAGGTATGAAAATATTCCATTGGATCTGAACCCTAGGAGAGAAAAGGCCTCTCAAAGTGCCTCTATCATCTTTCTTTTTTTACTGCATTCTGCAATTTCTTTTTTACTGCATTATGCAATTTCCTTGTACTGATTTTGCTAGATCCCATTTGAACTCTAGCCTATTTCTTTAATCAAATCGGTAATTTTATCAGTTTTCTTGTATTGTTTCTAAATCTCTCTTTTAGATACTGAATTGATTCTATCACCTATGTAGCAAACATGGCTTGTCATTCTAGAATTCTAACATAATAACACTAATTGAAGTGCTCTGTAAAACTCCTAACACTTGTAGGTTCTGTATGTCGGAGATCATATTTATGGAGATATACTACGCAGCAAAAAGGTTCTTGGTATATTATATGAATCCTTATCACTTTTGTATTTGATAGATAGGCTTTTTCATCATCGGTAAACTAGGACTTTACATGTAGTTCCTATCTTAGGAGGAGGGGAATATGGGGAATATATATAATCCGAAAAATAATTCAGAAGTAAGGTATCAATGGAAGTTCCAAAAAATGAGTCTAAGTAATGTTTATTTATGTGTGGAATGGAAACCCAAATATCTATTCAGTTAAAATCATGCTGTTTGTTGATTACTCTTTATGTGATCTGAATTTGATTATGGTTCAATGTGCTCATGAGCAGGTTGGAGAACAATGTTAGTAATCCCAGAGCTCGAGAGGGAGGTTCAACTCCTTTGGGAATTAAGGGATTATCGCAAGGTGCTAAATTTTTTCTATCATCCCTTATTTTTTGTGGATAAAATAAAGCTTGGAATATGAGATGATAGAAAGTACAAGTTTAATTCATGTAAAATTTTTTTGCCTCATTTTTAATGAAGTGTGCTTTTGCATTCTTATTTCCATTCTCAATGGACACCATCTATCATGCTAACACACATGTGGCATAAGATTTTTACGCGATCAGCCTTGTGTGCAGGATCTTCGATTATTGAGGAGCAAGGATGATTCCATTGCAGATAAAATGCATGATTTGAATCGGTCTCTCAAGTTAGTCTAACTTAGAACGTTCTTAGTCATGTCTTATTTTCTGATTGCAGTCTTGGTCAGTAGTCTATACTTTTTCAGATTGGAGAATCCAGATGACCATACCAAGCATAAGTTGAATTCAAAACTAGACGAATTGAAGGTTAGTTCTTTCGGGTTCATTCTCGTTTCTCATATCATATATAGAAGTTCAAGTATGGGCATTGTGTCTAAGGAACTTTTGTTTTATCAGCTTGAAAGAGAGATGGTGCGATTAAGTAATCAAGAAATGCTAAGAAAATTACACCTAAAGGTAGAAACCAGTAGTCTTTTACTATTATCTTTTGTGTCAGTTCTACGTGTCTGGTACATTTAGATTATATTCAATTTATTTTGTACATAAGATTACAGTTTAAAAATAAACCATTGCAGTTTCACGAGCCATGGGGCCAGCTTATGAAGACTGGTTATCAGAACTCTCGCTTTGCCCATCAGGTAAAGTTAAATGCTATCTTCTGATGTTGTACAACATTAATATTGGCACATGTTTCATATTTCTGTGTAACGAGAGAAACCGGGCTTTTTAACTACGTTTTTAAAGTCAGAATGGCTATTAGGGTGTGGTACCAATGTTGTCAAATAACATACCAACTGTTGCTAAGTCATGCCTCAATTTGCTAACGTGTAGGTAATTAGTTACGCAGGTTAAGTATAACATTTATTTATTTATTTTAAAGTTAGTGAAAACGAATGGCAATGTTATCCTCTGTACAAAAGGTAGTTTGGTTAATGCACTTGTGTAATGTGCATGATACAGGTTGAGAGATTTGCCTGCCTTTATACAAGCCGGGTATCTAACTTGGGCTTGTTATCTTCAGACAAGTACTTTAGACCCAGTGAAGATTTTATGCAACATGAATATGGCATTTCGGAATGCTGAGATATTGCTAATGTTTGCTTTATACCTCCTCCCATATGGATTTTTTTTTTAAACATAACAATTACTTTGGTTTTATCATTGCTGCTATTCAGAAAGTGTATTAATCGAGTAAAAAAAGGTTGTATATTGATTTTAACATAGGATTGTATTTTTTCTTCTTCCCTTTGTTTGATAATAGGGAGGCAATGGCGAAAGAATGCACGGGCATAACTCTGCTACTTTCCCAAAAAAATTAAACCTATTTTCATTGATATCTATCTCGTATCGGCATAATATCTATTGATAATATTATTTAAAAATAAGGGGGTTTGATGCACGGTATCCACATATACCCATTGATATGAAAAATATTAAAAAATTGTTAAATATGTTTAGGTCCTGTATTCTACTAGTTTTCTTTTAAAAAAACTCACCTCCACATGTGTTCTGTCACAACTTGTTGGTCCATGCTGTTAAAGTCTAAAGTCTAGTATATATGTCAAACCAAAATCCATGTGGCACATGCCACATGGCTTTTTAAAATGGCATGGCCTTATATTGAATAAATAAATATATATTATCACCGAGTCACCCGACACCAATTTAAAGTCTCTTAACAAAGCTTTGATTGACCATAAATTAGTTCAAGAACTTTTCTCAATCGCTATATAGTATGATATCATCTGCAAATTGCGACAATTCAACATGAGTAGAAGCGTTATATGAAAAGGCTAAAATTCCCCTAAAGACATTGCTTGATACAATAAACTAGAAAAGCTTGGTCGATTTTATTGTGTTGTTCTTTTTTTTTTTGGTTTCCATGTTTGTAAAAGGCTGAGTATCGCTTGTGCCTGTTATCCTTGCTTATAAAAAAAAATAACTAGGCCTTCAACTGTTTCCAAACTAATCTTTATCGCAGTTAAAATAATTAAATGAATAATATTAAAATAAACTAAAATAAATATAGAATTAATTACTCAGAGATTAATGAAATACAAGTGAATAATTTTAATTGGAGCAAATAATTTGAGGCATATGTTGGAACTATCGATTCTAAGATTGGTGAAAAATTAAGTATGGAGGAGAGAGAGAATGAGACCAGCTTTAGCGCTGGTTCTTGCTTTGTTCTTCCATAGGATCGTCAGTATGGCATTTCAAAGGCTACAGTCCGCATGACAAACGTTGAAGAGAGAGCAACGGAAATATTGTACTTTTCTTTCTTTTTTTAATGAAAATTAGTCGTTCATCTGTTAGTTGTTTTTTTTCTTTCAATTTTTTATTTATAAATATACTAGTTTATATCTAAAATTTCACCAACACAAATTTTCTTACTTTTATTTTCTCTTTAATTTGAAATTTCTCTCTCACAATTTCATCATTTTATTCCTAAATTTTTTATTTTTTTCAACAATTTATTCTCAAATGGATCCTAATCATTTTCATTATCAACAAGCTTTCTTCAATTACATGTAAAATTATCAAAATCCTAATCTTCAAAATTCTCAAATTTCATCGATACCAAACAATCCAAATATGTTTCCTAGACCTCAAATGAATTCTAATAGTATGGAATCCTCTACTCAAGTTCCATCATTTTCTACTCAAGTTCCACCATTTGGAGTACTTCAATCTCGATTTGCAATTATACGTGGCCCAACGCGTGCCTAATACATGGACACCATCAAGCATACTATATATGCCTGCATCATATTCCACAACATGATTGTGGAAGACGAACGACATACATATGGAGGTAATTTTGATTACTCTTATGATAATATGGATATCAACAACTCAACAACTGAAACATTTAGCGGTTCTCATCCGAATCTTGCAACAAGACTATAAAGAAGAGCAAATAAGATCCAGAGCTTTCGATTGTACTCATCGGCAAATAAGATGAAATACCTATTTCCACCAATGGTGATGCTCCTCCTCATGACCCAACAAATGGTATCATGAGGTTTGGTTATTTTAAAATTATTTTTTGGTGTCTAACAAGTGAAAACTATGTTTTGTGTCTGCTTCTATGTCAATGTTTCATAGCCATCATCTCAATCCAACTTAATGCCTTTGAAGCACACCACTAGAGACTTGCAAAGCAGGTGGCTTAAGAATAGGATATAATTCGTAGCCACACAGGTGAGTGGAATCCCGATGTTGTGGTTTTAGAAAATGTTGAATGAGTTTGGGTCTCATTTATATTGTATGTGAAGAATAATGAAACATAATAAAATTGTAAATACCTTGTTTGCACAAACAGATCATGGCCTTAGATAGAGAAGCTGTAGTGATACGTTACTAACCAACCAATACTACAGTACAAGAAAATGATCCACCAAAACAAAGTTAACTAATGTTTTTTGTGAAAACAAATAATCATTTTTGTGTTTTCACTTCAATCACTTACCACACTAACTCTAAATAAAACTCTATTTGAAACACAGTTTTCACCACTTTCTGATTCCTCACAAAATGATGACTCCTCACTCACTAGCATCACAAAATGAAAACTCTCCTATTATTTTTTACAATCTGCCACACATTCACTGACATGCAACAAGAGGTGAGCAAGAATATTCAATTTTACCGAAGCACTTTAGGTACCAGAATCTCAATGTGTACTGCTTAATCAGCTTTATAAAGCAAAAGCAATCATTAAAGATAACAGTCTGGTTTTAACTGCTTCAACATGGTGGTGATGGACCATAACAAGCACTTGCTATGGCGAGAGTTATTACCCAAAAAAGAGGTAGAACTTCACCAATAAAAGAATAACCAAGTCCATTTCCTAACTCTTTCATCTTAACTCTCCATTCTCCAAGTCTTGCATTCCCAACGGCATTCCCAACGGTTCTGGGAATATTTCATTCGATGACCTTTTATTCGAAGATGAGTGATCGTGGCCACCACTACCATGAGAACTTACTCTTCCTGTTTGTTTAATGCCACTAGAACCCTCCCTATTGGTAGCAGTAGCACCACTGTCTGATGAACTGTGTCTCCAGCTACCAAAGAACGCAGTGCTCCACGATCTATTCGATGAAGTTGTTCTCAACTTTGCCGAACTAAAACTTTCTTCTCTCACAATCTTCAATGGATTTTCAAGCGCTTTGAGGACATGTTTCATTGGAGGTCGTTTGGAAGGCTTAGGATTTAGGCACGACTTTGCCACAATTGCCATAGCCCATACCTCTTCCAATAAGTCCTCATCCACTATCAAAGACGGGTCAACGATCTTAGCCAACCGTTCTTTATCAAATATGGTGATGTAATTCAAAGTTTGCTCTATCCAATCCTTTGTGATCGCATCATCTGATTCACTGATGTCGATATTACCGGTAACAAGCTCGAGTAAAATCTTCCCAAAACAGTAGACATCATAAGCACATGTCGCAGATGATTTACCTGTTCATTACCATAAAATATAAAATCAAACATTGACAAATGTCTCTGTTCTGTCTCGGTGCTATTACATGTAACATATCACTAACATTTGTTCTAGTTCTAGGAATACAACTTTTGGTGTACTATTGCATCTTGAATTTCACACGTAAAACGAAAGATTGCATGAATCAACAATAGGATAAAAATTAACAAGAAATTGATTACACATTTTACTTACCATAATTGCCTTGATTCAGAGATCTGCAAAATCACAAGGAGAAAAAAAGGTTACAACCTTCTATTGAATATATGTTATAAAACAGTTGCATTTTATTACATTGGTATTGTAAATTAATTCAAAGCTTACAGTGGTTTGCTGAAAACTCTTGACACTACATTCTGATGAAAATCTTCTTGGGCAGTAACCTCACTTAAACTTCCAAGTCGCACTTCAAATTTATCATCGAGAAGTATACTACTGGCTCGGATATCTCTGCAAAATTAAAAAATATGTAAAATATCATTAATTTTCTTATTTACATATGTTAAATGAAATAGACTTTTAAATAAACTACCAGACCAATCAGACTCTCAAACCAATCAATAAACCTACGACAAATTACAGATCAGGCTTAGGCGCCTAACTCGGCCGAACCTATTTTTCCCCCTATTTGTGATCATGATGAGATTACCTGTGAACAAGAGGAGGGCTGCAATCGTGTAGGTAAGCCAGGCCTTCAGCAGCTCCGGTTGCAATTTTCAATCTTGTGATCCAATCCAGGGACTGCAACTTCCCATCCGAACCAACGACTCTATGTAAGGAAGTAGCCAAATCTCCATTTATCATATACTTGTAAACTATACATTTATCCTTCTCATTATCCATGCAATGTCCCAAAATTGGAACCAATCTTGCATGTGAAACCTTGCTTAATAATCCCAGCTCTGCAATGTAAGATTCTCTTTTAAACAAACTTAAATCTACCCTTTTGACAACCACAGTTACTCCACTGTCCAAAACTCCGAACAAAAAAACTCCAGAATGACCATGTTTTATTATGTTTGCTTCATCAAAATTTCCCGTAAAATGAAGTATTTGTTCGAAAGTAAACGATTCTCCGGCCGCTGTTACAAAAACAGAATCCTTAGGTATAGGACTTTCCCCTTCTGTAACAGGTCCCCTAGTTGTGGTCCCTCTTTCAATTTCCATATCTTTACTTTTAAGACATTGTTTTAGAACCAACATCAGGACCAATACCAGTGCCACAATAAATCCAAATCCACCAAATACACTTGCCAGTATGAATATTACTCGTTTCTTTTTTTCGCTCTCTTGGATATCATCATGATCAAAGGTTACATTTCTCTGAACATAAAACATTCTACACTCTTTCAAATTCCTCTGGTTTGGAATCCTCTGTAGGCAATTTCTAGCTAGAGTAACATTACTAAGACCATTTTGCACATCACCTTCCAAATAATTACCAGACAAATCAATCACTATAAGCTTGTTCGTCAAACCATTCACAGGTCCGTAGAACAAATTGTTTGATAAATTGAATACGCCACCGTTTGAGCTAACATTTGAACCAGACAATATAGGCAGTGGACCAGTGAGACTGTTACCTGATACATCAAATAATTGCAATCTAGGCATTGACCACAGAGCATCAGGAAGATCACCATCAATTGAATTTGAACTTAAAATCATAACTCGAATGGCGAAAAATCTAGAAGAAAACAAACTACCCGGCAATGACCCCGAAAGAGAATTCATGCTAAGGTCAAGCTCAACCAACTTTGAAAGATTACCTAGCTGAGAAGGAATAGAAGCGGTGAAGGCGTTATCAGAAAGGTTCAAAAATTGAAGATTTGAAAGGACACCGAGTTCAGGTGGAATAGACCCAGATAAGTAATTATTAGAAAGATCAAGCTTTGTAAGGTTACCAAGGTTGGAGAAAGATTCAGGTATTGATCCTGAAAACAAATTCCCAGAGAGATCAAGAATAGAAAGACTAGATAAGAGCCCTAAATTTAAAGGGACTCTACTAGTAAGATTATTCCCTGAAAGTAACAAAACTTTCAAACTACTCAAACCACCAAGTGAATCAGGAATCACACCAGATATTGAACAAGACCGTAAATCAAGCTCTTTGAGTGCACCAAGTGTCTCACCAAACCAATCTGGTATAGACCCATTAAGCATGAATCCAGAAGCATTGAAAGACTCTAATAGTGTGAAATTTGCAAGAGAATCCACTTCGAAATTCGGCATAAGACGACCCTTGTGAGTTCTCTTCAACCCGGACACGTTGATACCAACAACTTGACTGTTCTTGCATTCAACACCGGTCCAGTTCCGACACGGTTCAGTTTTAATAGGCCAATTTTTTCCCCTTATACCCAACGATGATCGAAGCTCCAATAACGCTAACCGTTCAGCTCTTGAACTCAAACTCATTGCTAACTCCACCAACAAAAACATCACCATAACAACACTCACTGTTATTCCACTCTTCATTTTCATTTTCATTTCCAACTCACACAAACTTTACTTCACCTTTCTCTTCGCAATCTCAGTTTCATCTGCATGTAACAGTATAACAAATTTAACATATAACCCAGAAAAAAAAAATTGATTCTTTTTTCTTGTTGATGAAAAAACAGTACCTTCAACGATGACAACTTGTTAAACTTCTCTTCACTTCACTTCACCTGGTGTTTCTCTGTTTGTCTCTTGTGAACTCTTCTTGACTCAGTCTATAAGAAGGAACCATTAACGTTGTAAAGTAAAGGAATGTCTTATGTTTCTATTATGTTTCTATTGTTTTTGTTTTGTTGTTTTGTTGTTTATATGAGCAGTAGTAGAAGTTTGATGAAACACAACCATTAAGGTTTAAGGATGAAATGGATAGAATATGGTTGTGTTGTTGTTTGTAACGAGAAAAAAAGTGTTATTTTGGAATTGAAGATAAAAATTTGTGAGAAAACATTAAATGGATATGAAGAGAATTGGTGGAATTGAGGTAGTGCATTTAATGAAGGGCAGAGTGTGGTAGTGTTATGCCCCCAACTGCCACAACCTTCACTTTCAAAACTCACCGGAGAAGCTATTAATGCAGAGTTTAGAATTGGGAGGTGGTAGTGATGATTCAAGAAACTTTATGGATGAACTCTTGCAATTGTGTCTTGTTTTTGTGTTTATGCAACAAAAATTGAAATAATTGATTTGTAGTACTAGTAGAAGTTTCGTGGAATTAGAGTGAGTTTTCAAATTTGATTTTTCTTTTTCTTTTCTTGTGCAGATATATGATTGAGGTGTGATGCATAATGAATTGATGATTGATGAATCAATCACCATCCAATAGTGTTCTTACACGTAGAGTTTTCAAAGGAGAAATCAATTATTGTTAAAAGACACTCATGGTTCTTTTTCATACATAGGAAAGTCACAAACGTCACCAATAGTTTGGTCCAAAATGCTATTTAGTTTTTTGTGTATGTTGGAAAATAGGTGTGAATTTGACTATAAAATATTTCGTCTATTGAGTTGATTAATGTTGGTATAACTATAAACCGTGTATATAATAATATACACAGTATTCAATTTATAATACTAGTCTTGTGACGGTTCCTAATAATGTTATAAAACTAGTAGAATGTGACGATTATGATGGAGGTTCCAAACTTTTATTGCGCACGTATTTTCCTTGCTCCTACCTCTCTCTTTCTCTACTTGTATACTTGTGTGTCTTAATGCATACACATTCAAAAGGATAACAAAATTAATGTTACTCCTAACTAAATATCTTTCATTCAATTGGAACTTTAAAATTCTCATAAACTATAGTCTATTTTTATAGCGTGTTATGCAATACAATGCATTGGGTGCTAGAGTCTACTTATAGTTTGTTAGGTTAATAGGGTTCTTGATTTTCATATTTTTATTGAAAATGAAAATACAATAAAATATTAAGTGTGAATATAGAAAATATGAGAAGAAAAGGTTTTATATACGTGATTAATTTAAATAATTTAATTTGAGATTTGAATAAAATATAGAACTTCATTTCCGTTAAGGAGAGGTAGAAGATGAAAAATAAAATTAATCTTTTTCAGAATGGTAGAAGATGAAAAATAAAATTAATCTTTTTCAGAATCATAATATAATAACAATATGACTGAAATCAATTCCTAAAATAAGATAAGTAAGTTGCTTCATCTTAGCCATTTGAATATCATAGAAGATATTTCAAGGTTTTTTTTGGACACATTTATATAAAGCTCATATTAATTTAATTATGTAATTAGAATTCATATAAACCTATTAATATTTCGGTAAAATAAATTAAGCTCCTAAGTAATCAAAAATAATTCTTTTGCAACAACAAATATCTTATTGAATATGAGATTTAATACGGTGAAATTGATGTATGTATGTGAGACAATTTCAATTCATGAATATGATATTATTGTGATATAAGTGTGAGTTGAAAATCTCATATTTTTTGAAAAAGTGAAGGTTAAGAACTTTATAAGTGAGATGATTCAATATACCTAATGTCATAAAGTTTTGAGTGAATATGTGATCTCTCTGTGTCTCTCTCTCTCACACACGCATGCACGCACACATATTGCTCAAAATAACAAGAATTTGAAACGAAAGGAGATAAATACTTTATTCACCGAGTTGATTGAAGTTAAAAATCAAAATAACAAGAATTTGGAATGAAAATAGATAAATGCCTTAAAGATATGATTGATTACCGATTCTTGTTATGTTATTAGCTAAAACAATAAAAGTTAACTCTATGATTATGATTTTTTATCTAAGACTTACTATGTAAATTGTTGTCTTATATCTCCTTTTTAACTATGTAAATTGTTGTCTTATATCTCCTTTTTAACTATATAATTGTATCTTAGCCAATTGTGTAAGAAAATTGCGAGAAAATGAACCTTAGTGGCATATTTCTAAATCAAAACACCTATGTCTCAGATATCATCGAACATGCTGGCATGTCATCCTGCAAACTATCACCTAGGCTTGTCGATACCAAGCAGAAACTCATCACCTCCTCCAGCACGCCTTATGAGGATCCCTCCCTATATCGGAGTCTTGCAGGGGATTACACTACCTAATCTTTACTATACCTAACATATCCTATGCGGTTTAGCAATTTTATATTTACATGCATGCACCTAGCACATAACACATGCTTGCTCTCAAGCGCATTCTGCGTTATGTTCAAGGTACAATACATTTTGGATTACATTTATAACCACACCCATTATAAATCTTATCTCCTACACTGACATTGATTGGGGTGGATGTCTTGAAACCAGACGCTCTAGAGATCCATTTTCCTATTCCTCAGATTGTTGTCTATGAATCGTGTTTGATTCACAATCTTCTCATAGAGATCCATTTTCCTATTCCTCAGATCACCTTGGTGTATTATGACAATGTCAGTGCCATCTAACTATCTGGTAATCCTTTGCAACATCAGCGTGCAAAGCATAAAGAAATGGACATTCATTTTGTTTGGGAAAAAGTAGTTTGTGGTCAGGCATGCGTCTTTAATGTCCACTCTGGAAAGAAGATGGTAGACATCTTCACCAAAGAACTTCCTCGCATTCTCTTTGATGATTTTCATACCAGTCTAAGCGTTCGTGAACTTCCCACTTCGACTGCAGGTGATGTGATATAATAGAATATTTAGTTATAATTTGTCATAATTAGTTTCCTACAATTATAATATTTTGTTATAATTTTTCATAACTAGTTTCCTATAATTAGAATACTTTTTCATAATTAAATTTCTATAATTATGTTGTATCATAATTAGATAGTTTATTGTTGAATACTATTTAATAAGGGGGTTTTGTATATCTTCTCCACATGGATTGTAGTGATATAGTTTGTTGTTCTGCAGTTTATAATGTTTTAAGAAGGGTTTTCAAAGTTTGTTTGTTTTGGATCATAAGTTTGTCACAATTTCTGTAGCAAAGATTAAATTCTAAAAAATGTTTGTTTAATAAGATATATCAAAGATAGATTTCATCAATCTAACTTGTATATATTCAATGAATCAAACATATGAACTCGTTTTCAATTAATACAATCATATATCCTCTCAATACCGTCTATGTCTAGATCAGTGTCATGAATATTATTGTATTCATCATTAGATGATGTCTCATGCTAGCAACCAATACAATAATCTTTAAGAACAACACAAAGCAAATATCAACTCACAAATCTATGTCTAGAGTTTGTTTGTTGATAGATGAATATTTTAGATCAAGGTTTATAAAATCTATGTCTAGAGTGATACAAATCATAAATGGATCTTTAAGAACAAAAACATTCAACATATATTAATCATTCACTTGTTCACTACAAATAGATCAAAAGAAATACATACAAGCTAAGATAGACTACCTCTATCTTTGAAACAAAGGATTTAGCTACCCATTGTCATGGTAGCTTGCTTTACAAGAAAAGCAAGAAGATGAATGAGCATCCAAGATAAAGAATCAATCTAGGATGCGAATCCAGCTTCTACTTGCAAAATATCACTTATTGATGAAGAAATGATGAAACTGAAGTTTTTTTCTCCCCGAGCCAATGTTGTTATCTCAGAAAAATGGAGTTGGTAAGTTATGATCCCCCAAAAGTGGAAAAAGTACATAAATATCTTTTCAAAATATGTGATGTTCGCATTGCGAACACCTTGTTCGCACTACGAATTCCACTTATAGGCACTTGAAGTGCCTCTAAACAGTTAAACGCCCCCTGAGGTTTCCTTGACTTCGCACTGCGAAGCTCCTGTTTGTACTACAAACCTGCTCGCTCAGACCTTGCACTGCCATCAATAAGGGGTTTAGCTACTATTGTGCTAAATGTCCAGCTCACTGTGTCTTCGCTTTGAGCTTGCACTGCGAGCTCTCCTTGGCCTCGCTACTTCTTTGCACAAGGAACGTGCAGGATTCTTCCTCATTTCTTTGGCTTCCTTGTCCATTCAATTTTGTCTTGTTCTTTGATAATCCAACCTATTTCCTACATAATAGCACATATATCAAGACATCCAAAGGTAAAATCAATTATCTTGAAGAATACACAGAATAATTCAATTGAAACTTAATAAATGCGTTAAAAGATACCAAGAATCATGGATCAAAATAAGACATATTTGACATTCAACATTGACCAAATGATATATATATATATATATATATATATATATATATATATATATATATATATATATATATATATATATATATATATATATATATATATATATATATATATATATATATATATATATATATATATATATATATATATATATATATATATATATATATATTCTATTCACATGAATGAGAAAGACAAACATTCTAATTATGTATGTTTTTCTCACTCATGTGAGTATGTATATATGTGTGTGTGTGTGTGTGTGTGTATATATATATATATATATATATATATATATATATATATATATATATATATATATATATATA